CCTGCGCGCGCCAGCGCCGCGGGGAGGGCGCCCTGGGGTTAGCGGGAATTCCCGTTCGCTTGCACTGGAGTAGCGCGGCCCACGGCAAAACAGAAACCCCAGAGCACTTCGGTAGTTGAGTTTTGTGTCAGGCGCAGCCTCTTCTGCTCTGGTGGGTGTCTTGACCCTCGGGAATCGCTGAACCACCGACCTATCCCGTCGTCGCTGGTCACGTTGTTCGTGTGGTTGAAGGGGTTTTTAACAGGACCTCGTGGCAGCAAGCTCTGCAGTGAGGTTGTACGGCCGCCTCGTTAATAGGGGACGTTATTAAGGATAAAAGCACTTCAAAGATCACAGTCCAGGGGATCTCTTCTTCCCTCTTTCTGTGCTTCTTCTCTGTTGGCTAAATTTTTCCTTCTGGTCTGAAAATAACCTGATTTTTCCAGTTGTCACACATGAGTTTCCAGCGTTTAGTGACATTTGTGTTTCCTCCTTATCAACCGCCTTTAAAAATAGGTGGGAACCTTTTCCTCCCTGCTGTAAAAACCTTGTGTTTAACAAGATAAAACTCTGTGCCAGAATTTGTTTAGCCTTGCTGTTTCGCCTTCCTTCCTCCTTTATTTTGGAAGGCGCCGCAGGGCAGAGAGTGCGAGGACGGGACGCACAGCATCTCCTGGCTTAGGGAAAGGCTCGCGCAGAAGTATCGGAGTGCCACGGAGCTCCTGTTTGTGCAGCGGGAGCTTCTTGGCACGAAGTCACTCGTGTGCCAGCGGAGCCCTCATGTGATGCTTCTTCCTGTTTTTGCCTTCCCTAGGTGGATAAGATAGTGGAGCAGCTGCAGCAGTTTGTGCAGAGCTACGATCTGGCCGCCCTGCGGGACTACTGGGGGTATCTGGACCGGCGCCTTTTCAGCCGTTTGGAAGATGTGTACCGGCCAACAGTGAACAAGCTGAAAACCAGCTTGTTCCGCTACTACCTCGTCCATACTGTCCAGGTGGTCTTTGGTTTTTTAGACTTGTGTTTAAAAATGTCCCTGGCGGGTCAGGCCGGAGCACTGATGTGAGCCTGACGGGCCTGGTGACATGAATCATGTGTCAGGAGTTTGACACAGACGCACGTGACGAGCTGGGGAGCAGGATGGGGAACTGTGGGTCGCTGGGAGCAGGAATCCGCGCTCGGACGCGTGGGCTCGTCGCCGTCAGGAAGGGTGGCTGTGTGGCAGGCACGAGCTGAGTACCCGGTACCCGTTCAGTCACTGTTAGCCACTTGGAAACCAGGAGAGATTGAGTTTCATAAATGCTCATGCACGGAGCATGGCAGTGAGAGCACAGGAAGACAAGATCCGTGTTTAAGGCGATCTTCAGAAGCTGAAGAAACAGCCAGAAAAGAACAGGCTTCCCTACATAGGTAAGAATGATCAGCTGCAACTAGTACAGGGTAAGGAATGACTAGGCAGGCAGCAGTAATGCAAAAAAGGGTCTCAGTGCAGCACTAGGTGATGGTGTCAGCATGGTAATATTTCCAAATGAAGTCAGAAGGAGCCTGTGCTTGGATGAATAAACAGGACTCTTGTCTGCTTTCCTTCCACTTTAAACTCCTAGCAGGACTTGGATGGTCCTAATGGATCCAGGCAGATGGGAGGGCTGGAAGAAAGAAAGATGAAGCTGAGGGAGTCGAATTGTTTGTTTCTTTTTAGTTTATAAGGGAGAAGACTGAGAGGAGAAGTGTCCTTCAAATCAGTGCAAGGTAATGGGGAAGCAAAAGGGAATGAACATTTTTGTCTGTTATAAATAAAACAGAAATAATTAATTAGCATAAAATGGAGCAGAGGCAGTGAATGAGATCTTAGGAAAGTGAGTGTGATATACTACACAGGGCGGACTGCAGGAAGCAAAATACTTGTCAGGAATTTATTTATTTGTTTTGAAACATTTAGGAGCAATATTTCCTCCTTGATTCCGCTCCTTCAATAAAAATCTTACATCATGGGTATTGATGGAAAAATGAAAATTAACTCCACATTTCTGCAAGTGATTTTTTTCATGTTTTGTTCTTTTGCCCTCTGCTCACTGTGCAGCATATGACTATGCTGCTTGAATAATGCATTAGATAGGTTTTTTTTTTTTCCAGAGTGCATCCATTGTAGAATTATTGAGTAATCTGAAGTACACTTTTCCCCTCAGTCCAGGGTGCAAATACTTAGGCCTTTATGTTTTATGTAAGTGCACAATCTCCACTTTCACTAGAAATCAGTGGAGGGAATTTGCCTGGTCTGCCGCAGCCTTTGAACGAAGCTGTGGTAATTAGAGAGGTTAAGTTCATTTGTGAGCGTTTCCTGGTGTGTTTAAGACTCTCTTGTTCCCAGATAAATGTTAACTAACTGCTTGGTTTGTTGGCTGATGAAAGTGGTTGTTACTATGCTCATAACATGGAACAAATGTTCCTAGATCCATGCGGTGGCTGGGACGGAAATGTGATTCCTGCTCTTCTTGCTGTGTTTCAGAGTGGCCGCAATGACAAGGCACAGGAGTTCTTCCTCAAGCAGGCCTCCGAGCTCCAGAACCAGGCGGAGTGGAAGGATTGGTTTGTCCTGCCCTTCCTCCCTGCCCCAGACTCCAACCCCACCTTCGCCACGTATTTCTCACGCCAGTGGGCAGATACCTTCATTGTGTCCCTGCACAACTTCCTGAGCGTCTTGTTTCATTGCATGCATATCCTTTTTTTTTTTTTTTTGTCATTTTGTAGTTAAATCTCGCTTGCCCTTGTGCCAGTTTTAGTGTTAGCAACAGTGCCAAGAATCAAGTATTATAGGACCTGCTGCTCTCAGGTGGTTGTTAAGAGCCAAGACTTATTAGGAAGCTGTTGTTCACCAGAGGATGTTAGAATAGTAATTACTCAATTACATGATGATATGTTGTATTCCCTGGGCACAAACCACCAAGTCTGTCGCTAATCCTGAACTCATTCCTATGTTAGCGAACAGAATAGTAGTGAGAAATCTTGTGTGCATTTTTATCTGAAACTTTTCCTCTTGCCTTGGGACAGTGCAAGCTTGGCTTGGAGTCCGTAACTAAATTAGGATATCCTTTTCGACTCCTGTCTGGCTATACCTGTTCCCAAGGTGTCTAGTGACAGCCCACTATAATAGAGAAGTCAGTGTTAAGGGAAATGAGAGTTTGTGTCCCATTCTGCACAGTTCTGTCCAGCTTTGTTTGGCGATGGGCAGGTTTATGCGATGGCTGAAATGCAGCTCATCTGGGACTCATCCTCTGCTTTGCACAACATTTCTTGTCTTCCGCTTCCCATCTATAAAAAGGAACAGTCTAAATTCCTTGCCAAGTCAATGTAAAATTATGTTTATGAAGTTGGTTTGGGGTAATTAAATACAAGGTTGGCTTAGGTAAATAAGCTGATACCAATCTTTTGGCCTCACATGTTCTTGCTAGCAATACTAACTGCCCAGCTTTGCTGCCTTACAAGCAAGTGATCATTATGAATTGGTTGTATTAACTGTTTCTTTACAGCTATTCTAGCTAAACCGGGTGGGCGTGTGGTATTGTCTTGAGTTTTTCCTTTAACATTCCTCACCTGTTCCAGTCATTTTGAACTTCGAGGCTGAATGTCACAGGAGCAGTCTCATACAAGAAGAAAATGAATCGTTGCGGCATAAGGTCAGAACTGAAGTCACTCTTTGCTAACTGGCTGTATAAGGTTGTTGATTTTGTTAAGTTGATTTGCCTTTCAAGAAAGTAGTGGCTCTTCAATTTAGTGCAGCTATTCCAAGGCAGACCATTATATAAATACTTTAATTTCATTTATATTTTAACTGTTTTCAGCAAACTTAAGGGTTGTGACTGTATGTTTACTAGCGAAATGTCTGCTCAGGATGTAACTGCCCTCTTTGTGCTATCTGAGACATGGTTGGATCCCATATGAACTCATCTTCTGCTATGGTGCCAAATCAGGCAAGGAGAAAACAGCGGCAAGTTAAGCACATCTATAGCTGACTGCATTGAAACGTGTGAGGGGTGTTCGCAGTCGTTTCTGAGATTCAGCTGATGGAGCAGTAGAAATGGGAATAACTTCTGGTAAAGAGGCAGAAACAGTTGCTTCCAAAATAGCCACTTAACCATTGTGGAAATGCACGTAAAGTAATTTAGAGAAACTGATGCAGATGTTGTTGGGGGCGCTTATTTCCCAATCCGAGATCGTACTGTGAGCTGTAGGGCTGGCTGACCTCTGGTCAATGAGGCACCCAAACGTGGCTTATTTTGTGGCAATGCTGTCAACACATGTATGTTCTTATACTTTCCCTCTACATAAGACTAGCTAGTCCTTTCCCAGTAAAATATCCCATTAGGGAGACTAGGAAAAAAATCTGCAATGTGAGAACTTTGGAAGGAAACTTCTTTCCTTCTTTGAAAGTAGGAAGTTTTATTCATGCAAACAGGACTTTAGTTTTACTTCCCCAAGCATATACCAAGTAAAAGCATCCCCTAAATGACTGTTTCTCAGTAGTATAAGCTTTTGTGCTTTAACTCCTGTGTTACAAAACATTCTGATGACATGCTAATTTCCAGTTAAAACTTTTTTTTGATAGCTGAATTACACTGTGTTCATCTGCCCTAACATGTTGAGATATGACAAATTGATCTATTTCAGCAAGGAGGCATTATGCCTCAAGAAAAGCAAGCTGTGCACGCTGCATGGAGTTGCTAGATGAGGAAAACTTTGCTAGCAGAATAGAGAGAACAGGATAGGTTATGTTTTAAAATGGGACTCATTTCTTCCTTCCAGTTTTGTATTTTGCATTTCTGGTTGGACTGAAGCTAGTTTTTGGTCATAATGTGTTGATTAGTCTTGCTTACAGACTGAGATGAGTTTCCTGAGTCAGGCAGTGGGAGGTAAATCTAGACCTGTCTTTTTGGACAGCTGATTAGGTTAGGAAAGGAGGAGCTACCTGTTGAGTACAGGTTTAAATTAAAAATGATGTGAAAAACTAGTGAATCCTGCAGGGACTGGAATTAATTAATGATTCCAGTTTCACTGAGGAAACTGCATGTCTATGGATATATGGAGGTCTATGGATAACATGGATAGTAACCTTAATTTCTAAAGTTCGCTTTTTTTTTTGTCATTTGTTTCCTTAAATGCTACAATAGAAGCACAAAAAGAATTGTATCTGGAAAACAAAACACTGTAGCAGAGAAGCCTGAGAGGAACCCTTCCTGCGGCCTGCAGTGGCAGGCAGCAACCACATCCTTCACAGAAAGCTGCTTCCTGGGGTTCCCTCCTGCTAAGGATGTTACCTTCTCTTTAGGGACCAATGAATGTCACTGTGGCCCTCAGGAGGGAGCCTGGCTGGGTGTGCAGCCGCATCGGGGTGCCCCGGCGGCGGTGGCTGCACCGGCCCGCGCCGC